CCAGGGAGGTGGTTGAGTCCCCATCCCTGGATGTGTTTAAGAAAAGGGTGGATGTACTGCTTAGGGACATGGTTTAATGGAGGATTAGGGACAGTTGGACTGGATGATCTCTAAGGTCTTTTCCAACTCAGAAATTCCATGATTCTATGATTCTATATATCCCTTGGCATTATCTTTGTCAATGTCCATTTCATACTCAGAACAAACACCAAGCTATACTATGCAACAGACCACAAATTTATTTGAATATTTGATCAACCTAGAAAAAGGGATGAGGCATATCTGGTTAGTACTAAATTTATATCTATAAAACTGGCTTAGCAAAAGATTTATCATTGTCTTTGTCATAGGCAAAGACTGTATATAGGCTTTGAAGCTCACCTGGAGTTTGCTCTTGCTTTGCAGCAGACTTTTGTGTAGAATTTCTCTCTCCTTTGAAGCTTCAGCTACTTGTTCCAGGAAAGACTTTGCTTTTTCCTCACCAAGGACACCGTTTAGGAAATCTTTCTTCAACTGTAATATCAGCAACTCCTCTTCGAACTGGGAGCTTATAGCTAGAGCAGCCTAAAGAAGAAAAATTCTTTCAGTGAAATCATACCAAAAAAATAAAATCTTATAATCATATTATTCTCACACAAGTCACACAAACAAAGCAGTATGACAAAGTCAGGTCAAAACAGCATGCTGGGCCGACAAGGGGTAACAGAAGGTACCTGGACAGTGCCCAGTTAAAGGAAAAGTCTTCCTGATAATGTTAGAAGCATCAGGGCTGCATCCATTTTGTGAACAGAAAGAGAGGAAAGCTGTACTATGGAAAGAGTTGTCTGTGCAGAGGAGAGGCCTAAACAACCAACAGAAAGGACAGCTTGAATGCTCCTCCCAAGGACAAACTCCATCCCTGTTCACAGACACGTTTATTCTGGAGATCACAGGAATGACAAAGTAACAAAGACAGCTTGCTGGGCACATGCAGAAATCATGCATTATAATCCCATGACTGTACTATTACACACTTCTTAACAGAGTCCACAGACTTCCCATCCCAGGACACCTGGTCTAATGATAAACAATATCATCATCACTGTTAAAGATACCTAGAACTTTAATCCAGTTCATTCAGTTGACAACTCCAGTTAACCAAATGGAGGGCAGAAAGCAAGACATTCTGCTACAGCCAGAGCTAAGTATTGACCTCCATACTGTGGGGTTTCCTGCTGTACTGGAAAGGCCCTTCCAGCTGCTGCTGTCTGGCAGCTGTATGCAGGCAGCTGCTGGCATAGCTTGGGCAAACACAAACCAAGTATCAGTTTCTGAATTTAGTTACAGGTTTGCTACCTCAATGTCAGCCAGTGCTGGCTCCGAAGTCTCCAGGAGCACCTGGACCAATAGTTTAAACTGTCCAAAGTCTTGCAGGAGATTCTCGAAGAGACTTCTCAGTTGAGTGTCTGTATCAGTGATCATTTCAAACCTCTCTTCTATAACACTGCAAGGATAAAGTGACAGCCGAGAGAAGGATTACAAAGAAATCCACGTCCAAACATCATATTCATCAAGGCATGAATTAACACAATACTCGTGTGTAAACTGCATCCAGCACAAAAACCTCAGTCTTTTTTACTGTCTGAGCCTGGTGTTGCATTCTGACAGCTGCTCTGTCAGTCAGAGACGTCCGACAAAACTAGACGTCGTAAGACACATTTGTCTCTTGTGCGACCGTGTATCAGGAATTATTTTGCCTTTCTGGCAGCCAGCAGTCTTCCCTTGTATGTGATCTTTCTTGGCTGCTATCACCAGCATGATTTAACAAATCATATTATCGGAGCAGTCTTACTGACTGATGGGAGGAACAAGCCAATAGCATCTACAATTTAACTGCAGTTGTCTGTATTGTTTTACATATTACCGAGTCTTTGTTCCTTTAAAAAATTACATCAAGAAATCTTTGATCACCCAATATTACCTACAAAAAGAGGAAAACATATTTTTTCACATATACATTTTTAAAATCTTGCGGAATCACTTGTATTTATATTAATATATATATGTGATTCTGATAACAGCTTAGTATTTTTATAGATATGTATACACATATATGCACAGTTATATATATGTGTGTGTGTGTATATTGAAAACAAAATAATTAGCACACAACCATTAAATATCCAGGCTTCTCTTATAAAGGCTTATCCAAAACACAGCTGTGTAACAAGGCCTAGCAGTGACACTCCCCATGCAGCTGCCTCCTGTTTTTCTCAGCTTTCCTGACCTCCCAGTTTGCACAATCCTATTTGATATGGCAGAATGCAGCCCAAACTATATGTTCATATGGGAACAGTATCCTTCAAATTCACAAGACAGGCAGGTAAGAGCAATGGCAATCAAGATTAATACTGCCTTTCTATAAAAACAGAAATAATAATCTCTTACCTGTGTCACTGGGACGTTATGGAGCTAAACAAAGGCAAGCTTGCAGAGGCCAAAAGCTCCGAAAATAGAAAGTTCTGACATTACACGTCCTTTGCCATTTGCTCTGCTGCCCCTGTCAGGCTCAGAGCGAAGCTGCCAGACTTCACAAAGAAGCTTAGGAGAGAAGCGGGCGAAAGAGCAGCTGCCATTTTCTGCTCAGAGGCAAGTCCCCTGCTTGCTTTGCTTCTCTTTCCACATTCTTTACTTGTTACTTTTTAAACTGAAATAACTTCCCATTATGACCTATAACCCTTCCAGCAGTACAGCAGACTGTGCACTTGATAGAGGAAAATAAGCTTGGATACAGTAAAAAACCTGACCTCTCTTTTTCCTTAAAAAAAAAGATCCTTTCTTCTAGTTTGCAAAATTTGCTGCGGCTTCTTTACTTCCTGATTCCAGGCAGACTGGAAACGGAAACGTTGAAGTCTGGGGAGAGGCTAAACTTTCAGAGTTTCCAACCCAAGGCAAGCTGAAAACAGGAATCATGCATACATGCCGCCAGGACAAGGGGAATAAACTCTGCCAAATAATTGCTAAGGCAGATGAGTCACCACAACGAACTCAACAAGGGAAGGGCCATAATTCTTCTGAACCGTTTACTACTACAGCTCCTTTCCTGATTTTCTAGTTGCTGTCATGAAAGGCAAGCAAAATACATAAATTATTATTATAAAATGCTAAGAAGATCAAATTAGCTGCCAACAATCTAATTTTCTTCAAGCCATACACAACATTAATGATGCAAGATCATTGCTTGAAAATAGCCAGCAGCCTACAGCTCCTAGCAAATGGCTAAAATCACAGGTTTACTGAAACACGGAGGCGGATGTAATGAGCAAAAGCCTTCCTTTTCTACCCGTCACCTACAATTGGATGGCACATGACTTTTTTTCTTAGATCATTGTTAATCCCTTCAGTGTCTGAGAGAAGATTCTCCCCACCCTCTCGGCATAATCAGACTTCCCACTACCTTCGATACCAATGTATTGCAGAGACAACACACTCAGCATGCGACCGCTCATCTTGGGAAGCAGGTGGTAGTTCCTTAAGCTGATCCCCCGGCGTCTCAATCTTGGACCTTTCTGCAGCCAGAGCTGCTCTTCTTGCCTTAATCATAAAAATAATGAACAGATCACACCTTATGTAGTGCCTGGCACATGCAATGAAGAGATAAGGCTGTCTCTCAGGGTATTCACAAGTCCCCTTTTGGCTGTCTTTTTTCATGGTTGTAAGGAATACGGACTTTGCTAAGGCAGAAAACCTCTGCAGGAACAGTTTTGTTCCTGCAGGCTTGTTCTCCTCTCCTCACACTGCCTAGCCTCTGCATCTGATCTGCAGGGTTCACTGCTTGAACAGGGCGCATCACAAACAGGCCCAGTTTCAGTTCACTGATGGCAGTATAGAATATGAGATGCATTTTTGGAGAAGTGTGAACTGCGTCTGTTTGCACAAACAGATCTTTCTCAAAGACTCACATATACAGAATGTTAATTCTAGAGTGATGCAGGGAAACAAAAACAACAAAAAAACACGCAAATGTAGCTGGATTGAACCAGTCTGTATTTTGAGGATCCCTTTCTCGTATACTTTTCCCAGCTAGTCCTGCTGAGTTCTAGACATACAAATAGCAATGAAAGGCATTTGGAGGAGAGATAATAAATGCAAAATCAGCCCTCAAGAGGAAATGAGTGGTAAAGATCTTATCTTCTTTATGTGTGACAAACTTTTTGCACTCGTTTTTGCAACAGATTGATTCTGGTGTAAATACTGCACTGCTACAAACTTGGGGCTTCTTAGGAATGGAGATGTCTCTGCCAGTAAAGGAATACAGATACCCACCTTACACAGATAAGGGATATCGTATAGAAATGGTCTTACCAAATACCCCAGAAACATGTGGTTTTGTGTGTGTGTGTGCATGTGCATGTATGTATGTATTTGTATATACAGCAAGGCATTCTTTTCCTGCTTCTTTTTAAGTAAAGCAAATCGTGTTGTTTGCTCTGTATTGTGCTCTTTTTGCATATGGTCCTTTGAACTCAAGACACAAACTCCAACATGTCCTCCCCTCCTGCTCCCTCTGTGCAGAGTGAAGTAAAGGTTAGAATAATTGATTCCATTGTTGCTATTCACATTTTCCTCAGTGTGTTTCATACACACTCATACTCTTTCCTTATCACTTTTAACCAATGGGACAGGCACCTGTTGGATGTGACTATGCATGTTCAATCTGTGACTGCACTTCATCCCGCTGCTTTTAGGCATATAAAGGGTAACAACTTACATTGCGTTTTCTCCACAGAGTTACAAACTCAGGTTCAGTCTCTTCCCCTTCCCTAAGGTTCAGGTCATTTTTTAGTCTCTCTAGATCTTTTCTGAAGTCCAAGATGTCTGCTTCTAATTGTTTGGCTTGGGGCTCATAGGCATTGTCTGACTGTGGAATCTTGAGCACTCTCTCCTCCTCCTTACTCAGCAGTTTCAAATCCTCTAAGGCTTTTCTTAGCTCTTTGAGTTCATTCTTCATTCTCTCAGCTCCGAGTGGGGAGGTATTCTGAATCACCGCTGCACACTGATTTTCAAGGTGCTTCCATTTCTCTTCACCCCTCCTAATGTCTTTGGCAATTTTCTGCAGAAAGAAGTTAAATAAACATCAGCTGCAGGAATGGGATCTTGGGATAAAAGCTGAAAGCAGTAGGAAAAATAGGCCACCTCTCCTGGTTGTACATATTTTCTTCTTCACTTCTTATTTCATAGTATGTCTTTTTTCAAGTGACCAGAAGCCAGGGCTGGTCATTTGACTGCCTCTGAGAAATACTAACTGCCACGACTGAGAAAATATTGGCTTGATTTTCATAAATGCCTGTCACCTGAGGTCCCTGACAAAGACAACAGGAGCTGCAGGCACTAAGAAATACTAATAGTCAGATCTCTCAGAGATTTCAAGCTAAGCAGTTTAAGCAGAGGCACCAAAATTTTGGATGCTGTTCTCACAACTGGTATTTTTATCACTAGCTCTAAACTTTCAAAACCTGTGAGCCTTCAGGCTCTATTTGGATCATGTTTACCCAATATCACTCATTTAAACAAGTTTAAAGGGCAAGATTCTCAAAGATTCACATAACTGTAGGAGATCAGGCTTCAATAGAAACAAAACAGATCAACCTGTGACTCATGCTACAGTTGGGAGAACCATATGTACTAACAGTTTTAGGACCTGCTACAACTCTTCTCCCCTCGCTCATGTTACAATCACCACCTTATTTTGTTTGCATAACTCTTTTCTGAAGTACACCCTTGTGTGGTTTGAGAAACATATACAGGCATGAAGAACGCACAGTCCTAGCTCCTTGTTAGAATTATATCATTTAAGGACCTTCAGTGTCTTTAACTTGTCCTCTGCAAAAGGCTTGGTTTCTACTGCAATCCTGAATAATGCTTCTGTCGTGTCATACAGCCACGATAGGAACTGGTTGACGTTAGTGCTGTACTGCTCGTGTTCCTTGGTTATCTTCTTAAGCAGTTTCACTCGACTCTGTAACAAGAGACATCAAAGCCATGAGGACAGTGCTTATGTAGCTCTTTTTCCTTTACACTGCAACTCAGAATTTATAAACAAGAGTCCCTTTCCATCAGCCTCGACAGCACTTGGTCTCTACAGGATTTCACAGTTCACCTCAAGAAACAGAACACAAAAGTACACAAAGGCTTGTCCACATCTGGGTCGTGCTGCAGGCTTTCAATGGCTGGTCTCCAAGGAGACAAACTGCAAGGTTCTTTCAGGTGAATTTCTAGTCCCTCCTTTCCAAAACTTCCTATTCTCTCATTAGAAAAAGAAAAGAGACAGAAGTCTGTTTCTAGTTTTTACTTAGGGAGACAAGCAGTTATGTTCCCCACGCTGGTTAAAAATCAAGATGAGCATACAACAGATTGCCTTTGCCCATCTCTCAAAACGAGAATAATAGAGGCTGTGCTAGGGGCACGCAAATTGGTTTACAGTGTTCATTATTCAAGCAGCCTGTATGGAAAGTGATCACCACCTTCAATCATGTAGCCCAGGAACTTTCATACTTACTCAATTAGCAGGTCACAAACTATCCCGTGGTGGTATCACAGACCTTGAAAGCAACTTTAAGCCTATGGGAAACAGGCTTCGTTTTCCAAGTTACTGTGTGTGCACCCTATAACCGACAATCCTGGAACTCACAGGGGCCTGAACATCATGAGTTGCTCCCTGCTGATCCAGTTTCGCACCTCTCACAACAAGGCAGAGCCACGTTTGCTCAGACTATCCTTGTTAGCTGAAGTTTTGGCCTTGCTGAAAGAAATTTTACACTAATCATGAGGAATCCTGCTCTGTTGTTTCACTAGTGTAATATCCAATCTAATTATTATTTCCTACAAAATCAGACTCATTTTATCTTGCCCTTCGCCACTTGGCATGCAAAGCAATTGCAGTACACTATGGTTACATTAGCAAAAAATTGTTCCTTGTGCAATCAATTTAATGCTTGCAGCACCCTTGAAAGGCTTTGCTGTCACAGACAACGGGCCGAGTTCCGTTTTGCGTGACATGGGACACATCCCATGCCTCTGAGCAGAGTTTCATCCCAGCTGCCCTGCGCAGAGAGCAGGGTGATAGCTGCAATGGTGGGCAGAATCTCAAAGTCCCCTCTGCATTTCTTTGTCTCTGTGAGTCTCTGGGCATGTCCCCACACCTGTCAATCTGCCTGATGTGGCAGTCGGCCATCCCCATCCTGTCAGCCTTTCTCCAGCCAGGTCGGCAGAAGGCTGGCATAAGCATCAGTCACCATGGGATCTTCCATGTGCTGTGGAGTGGTGGTCCCTCTGGGACTTTGCCCTTCACCTTTGGAACAGGTTATGCCCACGGTGCAATACAAAGCCACCACTCTCCACGTGGCGCCACACCAGTTTGTTTTCCACATTGCCACTGCAATCTCTGCCGACTTGTGCAAATCAAGAGTGATGGCCATAAAGTTAGTTGACTTGCTACAGGACAAAAGAGGGATAGCTAAGGGACAACTGCTTCCCATGGAGGATGAAATTCTGCCCACTTAGTAGGGCAGGGCCTTTAATAGCACCACTTATGCACATGGGTTTGTATGACACCAAAAAGCAGAATTATGACTGCAGACTTCTGTGGCCAAGATGTATCCAGCAGAACACCTCACTTGTTTGCTAAATTCCCTCGCCTTGATTCTCAAATCTGCAGAGGTGCATACAGGTTAAACGATTCTCACCTCGACCTCAAGTTAGGGACTTGAAGAACGGAAGCTTATAGTGGTGTAAATGAGCCAAACACCGAAGTGAAACAAGTCAGCCCAAGCTTACTGATTCCAGGCAAGTAGGCTAATTTGTTGCATGGACAGAAGCTCCAAAGGGAGTAAGTCAGAATAACAAAGCGGAGTTATTATTAAACTCAAAAGTCTTACGCTACTATATAGAGGGTTAAAAGGAAGTCAAAATGACCCACCCCTGGCCAGGCTATTCAGCCAAAACAAAAGAGCGTGCAGTTCGGATACTCCTGCTGGTGCGTGAGGTCAACGAAAAGATGCCATGGATCCGGACAAACTGTGCTAGCTGTCAAACAAAAGGCTTACAAAGAACTGGCTGAGCCCTCCCCAGGAGGTTAGGCAGGGAAACTTTCTAATGATGGAAAGTATGGTAGCATTTGCTTCTGTTAGGTTAGCTGTTTGGGGAGCAGGACAGTGTTAAACTCAATCTCCACATGCACTTGGTTTATGTGAGGGAAAAAAAACACTGCCAGGAAAAGAATGGGTTTGCCATCGGCTGCAGAGGAAGAGCTGTGTCTGGGCAGGATACATCCAGCCCTGAGTACTCGAGGAGAGTGGACAGAGGCATAGAAAACCTTCTCTCCCAAGTTCCCCTGACAGTCAGCAAAAACAAATGAGCTTCTTCTGGAAGGCCATCTAGAGCACACAAAGGAAGCTCCTGCTTTAAATCCCTCTGTGGCATCTCAAGTAGAGTACAGAAAGCTCCTGTAGCCCTTTCTGGTGCTTTTAGTCTTAGCTCTAGGGTACATGAGGGTTGACATTATAAATATCCAGGTTTCAGTTAACAGAGACAACCTAGACTGAAATTCATTTGATACGCTCAGACATATTTGATATATTTGACTAAATATCAACATACTGTATATCACAACTCTTCTTAATATCTTCATTCATCATTTATGCTAAAACCCATGACCATCTATCTCTGCATATTGCTATTTTACTAGGCAAGGGAAAGCACGTAGGAAAGGGCTGCCACATCTAAAAATATTCCTGTCAATGGAATTAAAAGAAAATGATGTCCTTTTAAAATTTGGGAATGATAGGGACACATGCCAACACTAAGAAAGAAAAAAAAACCCCACCATTTGCTCATACCAGAGAAGCAATGCCACAGGCAAACCATTTCAGAAACACTGTCCGAGAGCTTGCCTTCTGATAGAGCTGGACAACTGCACAGGATCTAAAAATGCTCTTCAAACACATGTGTAATCTACAAACACCAGCAAGCCTCCTCTGGAAGGCAGCTCAGGCATTCAGCTGGTATCTGCAAGTCACATTTAGCCTGGGCTCTCATCACGTGAGCGGCTGGAGCAATCCCCTGACAGCTCCTGCATCTCTTTCATTCCTTCCTCCCTCCTGTTGGAAGAGGTGGCAGGGTTTCCCTAACTAGTGTTATACTTTCCAACATGATTCCCAAGGTGCCTGTAACCTTGGCATTAGCTAATGAACACTATGTTTACTTCAGTTCCAAAATCCAAGGCTTCCCAACTCCCTTCTTTGTTCCATGCCTCCTGAAAGAGGGATTTCTCAGCTGGATTCTCTCACTCCATCCTTCTATGAAATGTGGTATTTGTAACCAATGCCAAAGAAAAGCTTTTTCTAGCGTCTCAGTTGGCTGGAGACATATAAACATATTTTGTCTAAGTACTATGAGCCACTTCCTGATCTCATTTACACCAGCATGTATCCAAGTCAGTTAGAGAAATTATACTACGTAAAACCAGTCTCGGAGAGGTCACATTCTGGCTTTGAGAATTCAAATGACTTGTTTGAAAGGACTGCCTTATTAAAATAGCTAATGACTGTCTCCTGCATCAAAACCAAAGACAAATCTTGGTTAGAAGAGAGTGAACGAGAATTTTTAATGGCAATCTAGATAGACTACACCTGAATTCCCAGGAACCTTCTTATTTGTAAATTTGGTTGCCTTGTAATGAAGAGATCTACCTTTAAAAATAAATAATCAATGCTGAGGTTCAAGTCTGTTGGTGGCTTTACAGTCTCTCTGTGGCAGCTGCAGCTACAGAATTTCCAAATACACTCTATTTTTTTGAGAGACTTACTAGCAGTAGTTTAATCTTCATGGTTAAAAAAATACCTGAATTTCGGCTCATGAAAAGTGCCGGCTTGTGGGTTTTTTGTTCGTTTGTTTGTTTGGGGCTCGGGGTGTTTTTTTTTAAAACAGAAAAAGTATCTGTGGAGCAAGCAGAGCAGTGGCATGAGCATCTCAATGTTGCTGTTCTTCCAGTGTGATCTGAAGTTAACTCTGTATGACAGCACCCAGGGAGGGAGAGCATACATTGCTGTCAGGCTCCAGTTCTGGACCGGGGTGTAGGTGTGGGAACAAATAGAAGACAACATTATGATAGAGGCAGATAGCAGAACCAATGTAATGAAAATTATTTGTATTTGCACCAGGTAATTCCAGTCTTTGGAGCTCCTGGAAGCCACTGTGAGACAAAGGCTAGATTTTAATCTCTATATGCTTGGGATAGATGTGTCTAAATATATATTTCAAATATTCCTTTAAGTATTTCTATTCATATGGGCTAGTGAGAAACTGAATTCTTCTGCCCACCTGCAGATGTCTGTCCCTCAGTCATGTCACATGGTCCAATCCTGTCTTTACCTGAGTTTTAGAAGTGAAAAGTATTAGCCTCATCTGAAATCTTTACCCATGAATTCAAAGGAAATCACTGGCACTGAAACTCGGATGTCTTATACCAGCCTGTCTAACAACTGTTCAAGCTAGAAGACTAGCATCAGGCAAGAATTAGTATCTGTGTGCAGTGAAAATCTTTCAGATACTGCAACTAGCTAGCTGAGCTCAGTGTTAGGCCACAGCTGACTCCCACTTCCCTGTTTCCCAGTTCTGCAGGCAGAGAGTGCAGCTCTGGATCTGGACTAATGCTACTTCCTCCAACAAGGGTGCTCGCATGTAATATCCCCTGGCTTCTGGAATGGGTACTTGGCATCTGGTTATACAAGGATCACTAATATGCTGAAAGATGAGAAACGATTCAAACTTCAGACAGAGATAACCTAAACCAATATTCGCTATGTTACAGCAAGCAGCTTGCCGTTGCTTTACAACATACTATAAAGCGTAGCATCCCAATTAACAGCTTATCTTGGGACATGACGACTGTTGCAAAGAGTCCACTGACCGAAAGAACAGAGGTCCTCAGCTCTGTTTCTTTTTGCAGTCCTACCAGATAAGCCCCATCACTCAAGACGCAGATAGCAAACAATACTGTATATTGGTGAAATCTGAACACCTCCCACTCTTTACAGGTGTACCTGAGCTTCTGCTCTGACTGTTTTATATTCCGCTCTTAAGTTCTTCTGAACATCCTCATCAACGCTGGGGTCACCTGTCCTGCTGAACAAGGAAGCAGCTTCCTCTAGCATCGTTTCCAGCAGGCGTGACCAATTTAAGACACCATTCAGCAGAACTTGAGCATGGCTCAGCTGCCACTGCTTCTCCTTTAAGCCAAGTGGTAACTCAATGTCAGGCTTCAAGGTCACCCTCATGTTGTGAATCCATGTGTAAAACTTGTCTTGGGCTTTCAGGTACTCAGTCCAGAGCAGCCAGACCCACTCAATACGGCTGTTGGGGAGAGAAAGAGAGAAGAGTTAGATAAAATTATGATGGGAGCAGTGGTGACTGGCAAGCTCAATGGCCTTCCAAGCAAAGGACAAGGTTCTCAGCAATTTTAAGCTGCTCTAACTTCGGAGGCTCCAGATCCTCCCTGCTCTGGGGAGGAAATATTCTGTACAAGGTCCCTGTGCCTGGCCAAACTCATCATTCCAGACCATGAGGTGGGCTGGGCTGTGAAGGCAGAGAGCACTGAGATCCCACCTGCCCTCCCTCCCCACACAGTCCCCGACATGCTTATGGGACTGGGATTAGCAGTGATTGCTATCTACAATCCAGGCAGCAGAGAGAGGGAGGAAACACTTTACAAAAGCACTGGATAAGACAACTGCCTCAGCACACCAAACAGCAGTCTTGTGTAAAAAGTACGTTTGTCTTACCTGTGACAGTGAGTAATGTATGTGGCTGTCTCTTCCCACAAGTCTTTAATGTCTTTCACTTTAGATAATACCTCACACTTCCTATCAGGGATGTTGCGAAGTGCAACATCTGCCTTCCCACGAATCAAGTCGATTTTCAAGTTGCCTTCTGGTTCCAGTGCACATATTTTCTATGAGAAAAACAAATCAGACTGAAAGCATGAAAAGAAAGCAACTATAATTGATGAAATTTAAACTTTGTTTTTACCCAGGAATCATGAAGTCCCTGCTGCAAAGCTTCTCCTGAAAGGAAAATACAACCTTTTCTTCACTTGTTTATTCTTAAACATCCTAAAGGACTGAATTTAATTGAAAACCATGTAGCAGTCGAAAAACATTTAAGTTAGCTACAAAACCTGTATCATTTTCTATCGAACATCTGTGGCTCTGTTTCCATTGCTGTTATAAAGTTACAGCACTATGTTGCCACGTGCCAGTTGTTCGCCCCCACCTGCTGAAGAGCGTAGAGGTAATCTCCACAGGGTACACTGCAACGTCTCGATTTCAAGCTCTACTATGAGAAATCATGAAGCATATTAAAAAGGCTTCCTACTGCAAATAAAAGTTGGCTCAGAAAACAAGCAAGAGAAATTAACTAGTGGAATTTTCTGCCCGCTACCAAATTTGCTTTGACCTTAAATTGCTAAATTATGAACTGGTGAAAGCACGTATCTTACACAAATCGCAATGCCAGGAGCTGAAACTTAAGCCATCTAATTTTAAGTAGTCCCTCTTCCTCTACCCAGAGATGGAAAATCAGCACAAGTTCTGTACAATGTAACGCATTAATTATGTCTCAATTTGGATGTCAGCTCTCTTTAAAGCATCACTTTATCCAAACTTCTGATACCATCATGTTAGCTTTTCTTGCAGTTCTTCCACAAACTCCTGGCAAACTGCAGGCTTTCATGTGCGAAGGAAAAGGCTTCTACAATGAAAACACTAAGAGGTTCGAAACCAGCAACTACTTTTGGAAAGATTAGTCTTATGGGATTTGTTAAAAAAAACATGTCAGTTATTGCAACAGGGAGACGAAATCACAGGCCTTTGGATTTCCAGTCTCGCATTCTGAGAAATGACCGTTCTTTTGGCATGTACACAGCACATCAGCACGTGGCGTACAAACAGGTGTTTGGACAAACTATCTACTATGAAAAGTGTGATTAAAAGAATCCATGAAAGCAGGGCAAAGGGTAGGGCATAGAAAGAAAAGCCACAGCTATCACCCGACAGGAAAAATTTAAGAGTCAAACTGTATTCTAAGCCTGACATTTTTCCAGTAAGTAAAAGCAAACAACAGCTGGAGAGAAAGCAGTGGCGGTACAGGCATTTTTCTTTTTCAAATCTGTTTTTTAAATGATTGCTATCTTTGGCTGGCACTTTCATTAACACATTAACAGAAAATAAAGCACAGGAAGGAGGCATTAAAAAAAGGCAATGAAAAATTATAACTGGATTTGAAAACAGCCAATAGGTGAAGCAGCAAGCACATCACGAGGACATGTGAACTGGACAAAAAAGCCAGGCCCAGAAAGGAGGCAGGATGAGGGAGCAGAAGGGGCATGAGTTAACACAGGAAGGGAGAACAGACACTTGTTATTCTTTAGAATGATGAATTTCCAAAGTCTGAATTGAAAAGCCTTCTAACATGATTTTTTGCATGTTACAGACCTCCTCCAAAGTCCACAGAAGTCAACAGGCTTCAGTTCAGGCCACATTAAATCACGACAAAACTCTACACCTTACATCTTGCTGTCTCTGCCATGAATGCATGCCCTTTGCCAAACTACCACTCTCCCTACTCAAGTTCCTGTGTTTCTTGCATGTTTTTTGAGACTGCACATATCATAGTCTCCTGGAGAAAAGGCAAGGGTGAAAATAATTTAAGGGCAGAAATAAACCTATAGACCAAGAGGAAATACTTCAGATTTTCCTGACTGACATGCAAGTCTAGCCATCAGCCATCACTCCATGAACAGTCTCCATATTATGCCAGAGGCAAGATCCAGCCTCCAGTGAGCCACAGTTAAGGAAAAAGGCTGAAGACATTGCGGTACCACCATGTAAACTACCTCGGACTCCACGTAAACCTGCAATGTTTTTTTGAGTTGTTAAACTTCAAGAGAGGCAGTCCAAACATGAGTAGACACACAAAAATAAAGACTTTCACGTAAATAACAATGGAAAGATTTGGCCATTTAATTTAAAGAACAGACTAGTTGGAATTAAAGGTAACAGAAGCATAAAAATAGTTTCAATGTTAATCATAGAAATAGCACCACTCCCTCTAATCATGAATGGTAAAGATGGGACAAACAGGAGTGTTTAATTCTCTGAGATTACAGGAACAAGATAACATCTAATGAAACTGAAGTTAAGGAACGTGAAATCACAGTAAGAGAGCAGGCACAAACTGCAACGGGATCTCTGTGAGAAGAGTTATACAAGACATTAAGTAAGACCAGAAAAAAATGAAAACATTAACCTTTCCATTACATAGATTATAAAGGGGAGCTGTAAACCCTCTTATTATCAGAGTTTATGGAAAAAGCAAGGGGATTACTCTAGAGCAGCCCATTACTAGGACACTGCAATCTTTCTCTATCAGTGCCAGAGTCCTGAAGGAGGTGGAACACTAACGTGATCCGATTCTCTCATACTGTACGCTGGACTTCTGCAAATGACTGTCTGGTAATTGCAAGCAGTGACTCAATTGTTTCAGCTTTGAGTGTGCTCACAGTAGAGTGTAAACATTTTAATCTGCCAAACCTGCTGCTAGTCTTCCAAATCAATCTGAAAAGCTTGGAAGCCTGTGAAATCAATCAAATTGCCATCCTCTTTTTCTATAACGTCCATAAACACTTTGCAGATGGAAAAATTAGAAGGAATACTGATGTAAACCTATTCACACAGAACCACTATTCCAGCAAGCAGGACCAGCTGACAGTTTCCTAATGGAAAACTCCAGAGCTCACAGCAATAACTGCTGTAACAATGGCAGCAGTGACTGCCACCTCTGAACCACTACATCATTCTTCCCTTACCTCAGTCTCTCTCAGTCGGGCTTCTAGGGCAGACAGAGGACCCTCGGTGTTGTCAATGATCCTCAGTCTCTCGTGGATGGCCTTCATCCAAGCTTCCGCATTCTCCACGCTACTGTCAAATTCATCCTGTAGCTGCTGAGTCATTGCATTCAAAGAAGCTGAAAGGATAAGAAACAGGGAAGTAAGTATATTTTGGTTAAGAACTAAACAGGAATGCATTCAAGGCAACCTAAAGGAACAAGGGAGAAAAGCTAATGATGTTGTGGCTTTACTTTTTAATGGTAAAACCAAAAAATGTAAAAGCATCGCAATTCAGTTGAGCACAGAGAACACATTCACACTGCAGCTTTCCCAAATGAAAACATACCAGGAAACAAAACGAAGGTGGAGAACGGATAGACCCATTTGTGTTTGGCGTGTTTGATGGATGGACCACTCGGTGGATAAGGAATTGGCTGGATGGTCGCACTCAAAGAGTTGTGGTCAAGGGTTCAATGTCCAAGAGCAGGCCAATAACAAGTGGTGTTCCTCAGGGGTCAGTACTGGGGCCAGTGCTATTTAACATCTTAGTCGGCGACATGGACAGTGGGATCAAGTGCACCCTCGGCAAGTTTGCAGATGACACCAAGTTGTGTGGTGTTGTGGACACGCTGGAGGGAAGGGATGCCATCCAGAGGGACCTTGACAGGATGGAGAGGTGGGCCTGGGAGAACCTCATGAAGTTCAACAAGGCCAAGTGCAAGGTCCTGCACGTGGGTCGGGGCAATCCCAAGCACAAGTACAGGCTGGGCGGAGAATGGATTGAGAGCAGCACGAAGGAAAAGGACTTGGGAGTGCTGGTGAATGAGAAGCTCAGCATGAGCTGGCAATGTGCGCTGGCAGCCCAGAAAGCCAACCATATCCTGGGCTGCATCCAAAGAAGTGTGGCCAGCAGGTGGAGGGAGGTGATTCTGCCCCTCTACTCTGCTCTCGTGAGACCCCACCTGGAATACTGCATTCAGCTCTGGAGTCCCCAACATAAGAAGGACATGGAGCTGCTGGAGCGGGTCCAGAGGAGGGCCACGAAGATGATCTGAGGGCTGGAGCACCTCTGCTATGAAGACAGGCTGAGAGAGTTGGGGCTGTTCAGCCAGGAGAAGAGAAGGCTCCGGGGTGATCTTATAGCAGCCTTCCAGTACTTAAAGGGGCCTACAGGAAAGCTGGGGAGGGACTGCCATGCTAAACTTGACTAATAAGGATGAACCATAACAAAGCCTCCTGTAGGTCAGCTCTGCTGGAACGAATGGAAAGACAGCCGTTGACATTAAATGGTTTTGGATCACATCCTACAACTATTGCCTCCCAAGTAGTCAGTGTCTCTTGTAAATTAACATATTCTTCCTCTTCATTATTCATCACTGAAATATTTTTGCAGCACAAAGTTTGAGGCTTAATTACTGAACTCAAGTTTGTTGTGCAGAATTCAGTTCCACAGAAGCCCCCTTCAGCCTCCATGAAATGATCCATGTGGAAAAAAGTGTTTGGTGCAAGAGGCAGAGCACGGCTCTCGGCAAACCTGGACCAGTGGTGTTTTGTAACCACTTGAACTCTCAGCAGCTTAGTCTTTTCAAGGGAGAGCCAACCTTCCCACCGTCCTGCTGCTGTTCCTGTTCACGAGGCGAAAGGATTCCTCCCCCATGCATTTTCTTTCACATTAGACCAGAAGAAACAAGATGTTCTTGTTCACAACACTGATTTCTGGTAACAGAAACAGTCTAAATTGTTGCTTCCCAGCCTTCAACAGGCTTTATGCTCAATGGGTCTCAGAACAGAGCAAAGGAACTGCAGCTACAGAGGGCATCACTGGAGCAGAGGTTGGGTCAGATCTCCACGCGCAGAGATGCGAAGCTGCACAAGGGAATTCCTAAGTGAAAGATGTCGGATGGAGCACAATCCAAAGCTGTAACTCTAACAGCTAGGCGGCAGTTTTGAAAAGCGTGGCCTCACTTTACAGAGATTAAAGAATAGAACAGGATGTACTAGGTTTAGTGACAGTGGTGTGGCACAGGGCAGCTACTCCCTTTCTCAAATACAAAAACTATGACAGGATATATAATTAAAGCTAAAATCATCACTGACATCACAAGAGTCCTAAGGATGAAGCCAGCTAAGGGAGTAATGTTATTCTCAGTGGATCGCTAGATAGCTGTGTCCTTCTCCAACTATGATTAGCCCAGAACTTATGTTTCTGAACTCCAGCTCTCAGAAGAAAGCACACATCTCTGCAGCTGCCTGTTCAGCTTGTTTTCACACTCACGTTTCTCATCCCACCTGGCAGCTGCAGAGGGCCTGTCCCCTACAACTGTCCTTGTTACACATGTATGTTTCTCTGTCTCAGCCAGCGAGGCCCGCAGCTGCGGCAGCACTAAGTTCTGTGGCCGAGCGGTAGATTGAGGGGTGCAGGGGGCTCCCACAGCCAGCGGAACCCGAGCAAGAGCCGGCAGCTCTTGTGGGAGGTGGAATGGTTTGGACATTGCCAGGAGCAAGAGCGGGAGATCTGAACGGCCCCCGGCAGCACAAGCGCCGCGAGCAGGGATCAAGCGGCCACGCAGCCAGCTGGAAGGCCGCCCAGCCCGGCACGAGCTCCCGGTCTGTGCCCTGATGGTGGGCGCTTGCCTCAGAGCTAAACCCAGTGCTTCTGCAGAGAAAGCCTCTGAGATGCCTGATGCTTCCACCCAGACGGCACTGGTAAGGAAGGAGACTTCAGCACGGACAGCATGTTACGACGAGTGCCCAGACCCTTCTGCTGGAGAAAAGGTGTACCTGCAAGAGATGAGCACAGGTTGATGATCTGTTGCGTCAGGTGGCTGAGTTGCAGGAAACAGTTAAAAGGCTGCACAGTCTTAGAGGGGCCGAGATAGACACAGGTAAGTGGTTTCAGAACCATGCTCCTACGGCAGACACCACAGAGAATGAGGCACCTCGGACCTTGGTGACCCACAAAAGCAGGACTCTGCTTCGGCCCTCATCTCCATCATTACAACCAAAAAGAGATGTGAAGCTTTAACAGCTGTAGACACCCATGAGCAAGGTCTGCAAGGAGAAACTGCACCAGCAGTGCACAGTGGATACTGCAAACAGAAGTGGACCAGTGCTTGTAGTGGGTGACTCTCTGTTAAGAGGCACTGAGACCCCCATCTGCCAGCCTGACAGGAAGTCATGAGAGGCATGCTGCCTTCCGGCAGCTAAGGTCCAAGATGATGCCGAGTGGGTGCCACAACTTGTCAAGAGCACAGACTACTATCCATTGCTACTCTTTCAAGTGGGCATGAATGACACCACAAGCCATAACCTTGGCAGAATCAAGGAAGACTACAAAGCCCTGGGGGTGCAAGTGAAAACTACTGGTGTCCAAGTCATCTTTTCTTCCATTCTACCAGTTAGAGCAAAGGGTGCAGCCAGAAATAGACATATAATGCAAATCAACTTCTGGCTTCATGGCTGGTGCTATTATTAAGGTTTTGGCTTTTGTGACAATGAGACATTCTTCAATGACTATAGCCTGTTAAGGAGAGATGGGATCCACCTGTCTAGAAGGAATTCCCTGGCAAGGGAATCTCTGGCAGCAGGCTGGACAACTTAATGAGGCGAGCTTTAAACTGAAGGACTAGGTGGACACGGTCCAAAGTGGCAACGCTCATGCCATTGCATCCAACTGGAGAATAAGCCAGGCCAACCAGAGAAGTGAAAAACATTCCTTAGCTGTGTCCCCAGTTGAGAACCAGAAGACCAACCATCTCAAGTGTATGAATACCAATGCATACAGCCTGGGGAACAAACAGGAGGAACTGGAGCTCCATGCCCAGTCAGAAAATTATGATATCATAGGAATAACTGAAACATGGTGGGACAACTCACATGCCTGGAGGATTGCAATAGATGGCTATAGGCTGTTTCATAAAGACGGGCAGGAAAGAAGAGGAAAAGGAGTTGCGCTCTATGTTAAGGACAACCTTGAATATATAGAGGTCAACTATGGTGATTGTGGAAGCCCTATTGAATGCCTCTGGGTCAAGATCAGAGTGGTCATCTCCAAGGGAAATCTTACAGTAGGCATCTGCTACCGACCTCCAAACCAAGATGGTAAGGCAAATGAAGCAGTATTTGGGTCACTTAAGCAAGCTTCCGGTCAACAGAACCTGATTCTTACGGGTGACTTCAACTACCCAGACATTTGTTGAAAGAACACAACAGCAGCTCACATGCTATCCATCCAGTTCCTGGAATGCATAGAGGACTGCTTCCTCATACAAACATTAGATGTGCCAACCAGGAACGAGCCACTGCTGAAGTTGATACTCACAAATCAAGAAAATCTGCTCTGTAATATCTCAGTTAGTGACAGCCTTGGCTGCTGTGATCACAACATTGCGTAGTCTGGGATCCTGCTGAGCACGCTGAAGGTTAGTACTAAGACAAAGGTTTTAGACTTCCAAAGAGCCAACTTCAGCTCACTCAGCTTCGCTGGGAGGGATTCCATGGGAAGCATCCATGCAGGATAAAGGAGCTAGTGAGTTCTGGGAATTTTTCAAGAACGCTCTCCTGAAAGCACAAAAACAGTTCATCCCCTTTAAAGGTAAGGGAAGCAGACAAAGCAAGACACCCCCTTGGCTTAACTACGAGCTTCTGAGTCTGCTCAAAACAAAAAGAGAAGTGTACCAGAGATGGAAAGGTGGATGAATACCCATTGAGAACTACAATGGCATTGCTATGGCAGGCAGAGATGTAGTTAGAAAAGCAAATTGAAATTGGCCAGAGATGTCAAAAATTAGGAGAAAGGGTTCTTTAGGTATGTAAACAACAAGCAGAAACACAAGGAAAATATTAGCCCACTATTGAACAAGAGAGAGGAATTAGTCACCAACGACGCTGAAAAGGTAGAGGTTCTTAACGCTTTCTTCACCTCTGTCTTTACCAGCAGTGTTGGGCCTCAGGTCTTGGGAACAAAAACCCAGGGTGCTTCAAACACAGACCCACCGTCAGTGAAGGAAGAGTCTGTATGTGAACTACTACAGGAGCTTGACCCTTACAAGTAGATGGGCCCTGAAAATATCCACCCAAGGCTGTTAAGAGAGCTGGCTGACATCATTGTGAGCCTGCTCTCC